TTCTGTGCAGCCTGTCGCCTCAGCGCGCGGCGCCGCCCGGGCACTCGGGCTCGGCAGCAGGTGCCACCAGGCAGGGCACGCGCCGCTGCTGCGGAGGCACTTTGCGGACAGCGCCACCTCTCCCACTCCCACCCTCCTGGGCTTCCCCGGGCTGCGTGCGGCTCCATCTGTCCTCCGGGGACGGGAACAAGGCGAAGGCATGGCTGCTTAGCTGCCCCCCTTTCCAACCTTATTATGGAATAAACATGCCCCCCGGGATCCATAAAGCTAGCGCAATGCACTAGGGGGAGGTATCCTGCATTGGGGCACACTTACAGCCGCGTGGCTAGGTGATATAGACAGATCGTTAAAAGTATGTGCGTTGTTTTTTTCTTTGCACAATCCCCAAGCCCCTTTTCTCAAACCTGCAAGAGCAAGACCCTCAGTCACTCCCTCCCCATCTCACCCAGAGGGAAGAGCTTTGCCCCTATATAATATCAGGCACAGACCAAAGCGGAAGGGGTAGTTTCCACTGGGGGGTGAATCGCTTCGCTGTATGACCAGAGAGAGATCAGAAAGTCACACTCCGCCTCACTGATTCTTTATGGAGCCGGGGGCGGGCGGGGCAGGTGACTCCTGTATGCAGAACAGCGCGGGATGAGGTAGGGTTTTCTCAGTTTTTGCTGGAAAACCCTCACCGCCGAAAATGAAACAGGGTGTTCGGGGCGATGGGCGGGGGCGGGGAGAAGGATTTTGATGTTCTCCGTCTTCGACTGAGTGTATGAAGGAATTATATTTTAGTGGCGGGTATCAGAAGGTTAGGAGAATATTGTGTGTAGATAAACCTTGCCACCCCCTGCCCCTCAGAGACCCCCATATACAATGTAGAGATGATGAATGGGCTCTAGGAGAGGAGATCGAAGCTCGGTCTGCACTGGCTCTACTCTCTTCAACAAAACTATAGGGCAATTAATTGTGGCTTGTCCCCTCATCCTTCATCTCCTTGTGGCACATATCGATGGAGATTACTGCTGATGGACCATTTTATCACCTTAAATAAACAGTCACCACCTTCTCTAACCTCAATCTAATATATGGCTATCTGCTATGTTTAAGGGTGCTGGGTAACCAATGATGTAAAATAGCTAAATCATACATGTTACCAGCAATCTGCAAAAATGCAAATATTCCCCACACTGATCCACTTCCCTATAATGCTATATATACACTCGCAGCTCCCTGGAAATCGAATAGTACGAGGCGTGCAGACTGCTGGTTTATGTGACCCATTCGTTTTACACAGCGTATTTATTACAGCGGCAGGTTGGTGCTTTACAATTAAGATAGAGGACTCAGCCTTTCCAGTATGAAAGCCTCTTCCCAGGAGCAAGGGACGGCTGTCCTTGGGGCAGTTCAACTTTTCCCCACACTGAAACTTGGTATTCAAATACCCAACCCAGGACCTCATCCCCTCCTATATATATCCCCTCCTTCATAACCCCCCACCCTAATAATTCTGCTCCTTTTAGATAAAGAGCTACTCAGAAAATTGTCCGCAATAGCGTATCTCTTACTCAGGCAACATTACCATTGATTTTAATCGAATCCCATTTCCCTCAATGGGAGTAAAGACTGCAGGTTTGGGCCCTAATTAGTTTGATTATTGTGATTTTCTAACTCAAAATAACTCAATTTGAGAAAAAACAACAACAGACATTTAGCCCACAATCCTTGTGGATTCGTTTAAAAATGCAACAATTTTCAACTGATGATTGAAAATCGACGCATGTGTTTGGGAGTAACTTTTTCGCATCTATCTTTAACGTCATAACAGTCCATATAAATGAGTGATGATAGGATATTAATTGACTAGCATAATTGAACAGGATAATATGTAGGATAAGGTAGGGTTTTAGTATTTGTTAGAGTATTTTTTTTTTACTATTATAGGGTAAATAATACGTATTTTGAAAAGAGGTATTAACTTTACTAACCAAAATGGTCAAAACTACAATCACCTTTGTGATCGTCCATATTGTATAATTCTCCGTAAAATATTTTAAATCAAAGAAATTAAATGTGAACCTTACATTATAATAGCGTTTAAATGGTGTCAAAGCCCAAGACGCAATTTGCAACTTTGTATTGTTTATTTAATTTAAGTTATGTATTTATTAGCCACAATACGCAAGCTATTGAGCTAGTGGTGCATGTGAATTTGGAATTCATCATCACCATAGGTCTTTTGTAGATTTGTGCCACAATATTAATATTAAACGTGTGGGGGAGGTTTTATTTGCAAAGCATCTAGGTCAAGGAAAAAGTTTGAACCAGTCTCTTTTCTGCAGCGCAATAATAATAGTCTTGTGGATACAGACTAACACGGCTACCCTCTGATAAAAGAGACTGTGTTTCCCTAAAGATCCAAACTGTGATTCCTGTAAGGCAGAGAAGGAGTTTATTCTTCCTTGTTGGGGGAAAGGATGTTAAAAGTATCATTTAGAGAAGAAATAATGACTACAGTGACTTATAATTTCACAGTATTTTTAAGAAGAAGCGCAAACAAAACTAAATCCAAGAAATATCTGTTAGTAAGGTTCCTACGCCTAACCCCGAAAATGTGTACTTCGAAACCTCTGCATATATTAAGGCCCGATCCCGCAGTCCCTACTCTGTTATACTATCCACTTACTTCAACAGATCGGGCCCTCAATCTGTTGCTATCTTTCGGGCACAGAACTCTTAAAAAAAAAAAAAACAGCATTGCAACTTCTGTGCTTTTTAAGTGACTCTTTGCCAATCTTGGAACTTCGGTAGATTTATTTGGAGCTAGAACTCAAATTAAAATCAATCACCTCTCACCTCATCCACAAACCACTCTCCTTCCCCTCAGAGAGCCACCTACAGTACACTGAATTAAGGAAGTAGTGAAGCTAGTTGAAAATCAGTTCTACCAAAGATCACAGTACTGTGATTTCTGTATATTTTCTTTCACGTTATATGATGTATGTACCAGCTATCCCAGTGCTGATCAGTTTTCTTTTTGAATTGTGCCTTAATAAGTGAAGAGCATATTATTGTAATTTCCATATAAAGTATGTATTATCTCCCTTTTGTTAACATATTGCCCAAAATCACAGAGCAAACATATCTACGTGTTAACATTTCTTATTAAATAATAAATACATAATAATAATAAATCTAATATAATTGCAAGGAAAAGTTGCCTACCAAACAAGTTAAATGACAATGCATTTACTGAAGACCTGCAAAATGTAATAATTCTTGCACCATTTCTCCCTTGCTTTCATACGGTGAAAACTATTCAGGCACAACAAGATGAACATTTTACAAACGTCCTTTGTGATCGATGTATTCTTTATCAAATCCACCTTTAATGCTGGGATTGGAAAGAAACTCTGCAGACTTCACCAGCGTGCTATTTATTCCACTCACTCCTTAAAAATGTTCCTTCCAAATCACTTTATCTTTCTTTCTCTTTTTAAAACCTTTATCTTGTAGATTTACAGAGCTGCTCTGAGAAGTTAAACATGTATTGTCTGAGTAGTTTGGTTGGCGATTAAAAGTGCATTTCAAATTCCATTAAGTGCATGTAATTTATGAGATCAGGTTTTCTGCACTGGAGAGTAGAAAATACGCTAAGTCTTTTGGCTACAGAGTAAAATTGAAGCACAAAAGTCGTTGAAAACTAAACCGCTATCCAAGACAGAAACATTTGCAAGGCAAAGAAGGAACTAAACTTGTACCAACTTCCCTCATACTCTTTAAGAGTATTAATATCAATGTAATTTAATTAATTCACAACAGAGTGCCATTTAATGGCAACTTTCGAAACAAGTTAGTCTTTGAAATGAAATTAAACAAACCCACATTTTACTTTTGTATGTGTTTATGGCTTGTTGTTGAGTTTTGGAGTATTTTTAATAGCCTATCTAAAACAAAAGTTCAAAGTATTTTAAGAAGCAGTCTTTTGGGAACAATGCAGAAAACATACGCGATAAAGATATCTTAGAGCGTTCTACTTACATAGAGACGAAATGTATGTTATTGTTAATAAATGTGATGGGTCAATCTAGTCAATACTTTGAGAAAGTATTAACATGTTTTAATTAATATTATCTATTGAGGCCATTGAAGGTATATTTAATATTTATGAATGCTACAAACAGTAGGTGTAAACAACTTCTAGAAATTAACAAAGACTGTTTAATAATTTGGGTCTACCTCCAAAAAATAAAAAAACAATTGCGGTGATAACAGGATTAAGTGCCTATCAAATCCCATGTACAAAATTGGGTTTGACATCCAATCCGGTACAGGACATTTATACTTTTGAAAGCAAACGAGTCATATTAGATTACTATGTCACACTTTTCAATAGAAATAAAAATAAACTAGCAAGGTGTGATTGATGTTAACAAGCTCTGAAAGGTAAATGATATTCCAAGGTGAGATGGGGCGGGGGGAGGGGGCGGGGAGGAAGTTCTCCACAGCCTTTCAAATGAAAACTTTTCGCCTGCCAAGCGCAGCTGAGTAATTGATTTATTGTAAAAAAGCTAAGAATAATGTCCTGCAAACTTTGGCTTTCCATATAGGAACCAAGTAAGAGAAACAAAAGGAACCACTTCACAGTGAATTGTTGTGTTGCTTATCTGCATTCTGAATTCATTTCCCTAAGCACTCTCTCAAAAACTTGCTCCCAGAAAACCTTGTTTTGTAAAGGGCACCTCCCAGAGAAGGGTCTTCGACAGAAATGGAACCTGGTTCTACCAAGCAACGCACTTAAACCTGGCTCTACCAAGCAATGCGACTAATTGTAATTGGCGGGGAAGAGCAGGACATTTGACGCTTGTCAGTAGGAGAGAGCAGGGTGCAGAGCGATAGAGTGCAGGTTCAAGGTCGCTGTTACCCAATCTTGGGCGTGAGCGGACTGATTTCGGACTCTCTAGGTGTTAGGCTTGCCCTGGGCAGGGAGGGTAGCTGTATGAAGGGGTACATACGGTTGTTGGGGTCACCGGTGTGCTGGTTCAGGGGGATGATCTCCATGCGTTGCTGTCCATACAGGTAATAGTCCAGCTCCTCTGCTGTACATCGAAACCTGGGCGCAGCCCGCTCGCTGCACTTGGCGCCCCCGCCGCACAAGTCTTTGCTCTGCAGGGAGGCCGGGGCTCCGGAGGGGGACTCGGAGCTCGGTAGCGGTCCAAAGACAGGAATCTGGGCCACAGAGATGGAGGTCAGCCCGGCCAGGGAAGCGGCGGCGGCGGCGCAAGAGGAGGTGGAAGAAGATGGGGTGGACGAAGAGGAGGAAGAGGAAGCGGAGGAGAGAGAGGCTGGGCGCTGGCGGAGGCTGTCAGCCGAGGGATCCGCTCTCTCGGGCGGTGGGAGCTGGGTGAGGGCCCCGCTGCTCTTGAGCTGGCTGCTCTGCGGGAACAGCTGCTGCCAGTGCTGGAGATAAGCTGGATCCACCTTCAGAAAAGCAGATCCGCCTGGGTCGCCGGGCTTCAACATCTCCGCAGCCTAGAGAGCAGGGGAAACGGGAGAGACAGGCGTGAGCTCCTACCTCCGCGCGGTGCCTCCTGCCTGCCCCAAGCCGAGCCAGCGTTCAGAGACACCGCCTCCCGCGGCCGAGGTGCGGGGGCTGTCTGAAAGAGCAGGCAGAACCAAATGCCCTGCTTTGATTTCTGCCGTGTCTCAGCCTTAGCGAGAAAAAAACACCCAGCCTAGGGTCAGAGAAGTCCCCGCCTGACATACATAACCGGCTCCTTCCGAAACAGGCAGAGAAGGGAACTTTTCAACGACTACACCATACACTAAGTGCTTCTCTGTCAATAAACCACAGTACAGAGCTACTGGGCCGGGGGTGGGGTGGGGGTCTGGCATGTACAGCCCCTCCCGCCAAGTGTCTGCAAAGAGAGGGGGTGTCACTGGGAGCCACCCCAAAATCAGAAAGACAAGCCAGCCAGCTCGCCATGCCTCCACAAAGCTCCGTGACTAACTGTGCCCCCCTGCCTGCTGCAAGGACCTTTCTCCATCTCCCCCACCCCGGTGCATTTTTACCACCCACAAACAACCCCAAAGTTCACTTTATAGAAAGGCTGGGAGGAAAAACGATTCTGTATTTCGAGGTCTGTATGTATGAGAAAAACAATCGCTCAGCGGCATCCCTGAGCGAACTCGGCACAGTCAGACACAACTGCAGATAGCGGCCTCGGAGGAGGAAAAAACCCCAAACAAACATCGAAACAGCCTTCCGCAGCTCCCCTGGTGTACCCGACCCAGAGCCGGGCATGGCATGGCTCCCCCTTACCTGAGTATTTCTATTGGCTTTACGTGTGTGTCTGTGCTGTGTGTACAGCCCTGGGAGATCACAAGCCGTACGAGGTTTAAGAAGGGGACTTTTTTGTTATCCCTCGACAACACGAGCTTCCAGGTAGCGGCTGGAAGGGATAAACCTGGTGAGAGCCGAGCAGCCGGGCTCCCTCTGCTGTGGCTGAGTATTTCAGGCGCGTCCGGGCTCCTCTCTGGCAGACTCTGCGCTGGACACGTGGGCTTTACGACAGCACAAAATACAGTGTGTGGTGTGTGTGAGAGAGAGGGAGGGAGGGCGAGAGACAGAGGTGAAGGAGCGGGAGGTTAACAGTGGGTCTAAACACAGAGCCCCCTTTTTGGCAGCCTCCCGCACTTTGTTCCTGGTTTCATTCTTAAAGATGTCCCCATTCCCTAAACTGGGGGAGTTAGGGTACTTAAAACAGGTCTGTTTCCATTAGCCCATAGATAGGGAACGGTGGCTAAGTGGGACTTCTGAGCTGTTCAGACTTGTCCTGCTTAGTCGCTAAGGCAGGACTACGAAGTGTAAAGTTTTACTTGTTTGCTATGGGTTTGTCAAACGACAGCATCTTGAACGACAAAGCGGGACTGCTCGAAGGCGGTGTATAGTAGGCGGTGTTCCTTTCAGTGCAGGTTTACACTAAGCTTTAGACAGACGAGTTTAGTCAGCTTTAAACTCTTCCTTGTAGTTCGGTGTGCTCAGGTTGGACTCTTTTGTATATCAGTTTCCTATGACACTTTCATTTGATCGCCTTCATGTATTTGACCTTTGATTTACATTTTGCTTTTATCGTGCAGATGCTACGGTGTATTTTGATTCGCTTCCTTGTTCGTTTCCTTATTAATTGTTCCCCTTTCTCTGCTTTCCTGGTGCACATCTGGTCGCATACACTCCTTTTTTACATTTCTCGGTATAATTTACCTTCTGTTCTCCATGGCTACTTTAATAAGATCCATTTCAAGAGTTCCCAGGATAGGTGGAGAAACCCGCTGTTTTCAATCTGCTCTACTTCTGCCTTAGTTCTCTGTGGACTCGAGAGTTAGCCAGTTCATACTCCAGAAAATCTATACGTACTATAGTGCACCACACAAACCAAAGTTTAGGTAGTCAAGACGTAGCCTCCTTTGCTAAACGTCTGCGCTTTAACTACAATTTTTTTCCTTGCTCGAAATTCAGGACCACAAGGTTGGCTATTTTCCGTGTAATTACTGAGAAATTTCATGTATCACTTAGTACTTAAGATCAAGTTTCTTCGGGCTCTTTTTCACATCGCATGAAATGATAGAAAAGGGATATCATTTGTCCTATATAATATATACTTATCCAAATATATACATTTAATATAAAATGATCAGATCAAAATACCTATCAAATGTAACAATATAATTCATATTGTTCTATTTCATTTTGACGTTATACACACACCATATTCTCTCTCTCTCTGTAGTGTGTCTCAGTATTTTAAACAATTAATTGAAGACATTTCTCTTCAACTTTCTACTTGTTTCTTTCCCACCCGTTCATTCTTGCAGAGCCTGGGAAAGCTGCTGTTTAGATTTTGTCTGTGTCTAAGGCAGGACATTTTAACACAAATTTGAACAGAGCTGGGACAAAAAATGTTTTGACTGGCGTCATTTTGACAAGGTCATTCGTCATGTGCTGTATAGATTGATAACACCTAAGTTAAGGCAAACACAACTAGGGGGAAAGAACTGATTTTATGGGATATTTAGCTAGCCATAAAAAACTCCACTGTTTTTGATCAATTCTATTGTGCCAGTTATAATGAATTCTCAGTCCTTTTCCTCTATTAATCTACTTTTAAAAGTTCTGAAATGTTGGTATTTAGTTCACAGGAGAAAAGTGTGGAGAGGGAGAGAACCTTTTTTATCACTTTCTTATTATTGTGTGTATAAAATGTTGATAGATATGCAGAAATGCGTAGGGCTACAGGTTTTCTTTGTTCTCATTTTAATACTATATATTATGCTTCATCAGTTCTTTTCTGGTAAACTTTTTATTTCCTCTTATTTGTTTTTTACATGTATTTTATAAATTCACATCTTTGAATGATGATTGTTTTTATTACGAAATGTCTTTACAAATATTAAATGCGTTTTAATGGCAGCAATCTTTAAACAGTCGTTTCACACTCGAAAAACATGAAGTAGTAGGGAAATGCTCACAGCTAATGGGTTTAAGTGTATTGTCAATATCTCCACTTGCCTTGGATTGTTACAGAAATGATGCCTGTAGTTTCATATTAGTAGATTTTTATCTGCTATTGCAAAACTAGGGCACTCTCATACTTGTAACGAGGAAAGTCTCCCTTTGAGTGATCAAGATGGCAGAAGGGGATTTGCAAGGGCACCGAGTAGGTGTTCGACTCTCCTACAGGAGGATCAGGTTCCTCCTAAGATTTCTGACAAATGAGGGTAGAAAGATCAAATCCAAAATAAAACAGGATTAAAAAAAGTTGTCCTTTCCCTCCACCCCCTCAGGGCCGGCTGGAGAGCCCGGAAAGTTGGACGCCTAATGCAGCAGGGCTCAGTGGCAGCATTGCAGGGCAGATGCTGTAGCTATACCAGACTGTGGGGCCAATCCTTCTTGCACTGAAATCAATGCGGGGAGGGGGCAGGATCGGGCTCCGTGTCTCTGTCTGGAATTGGAAGGGCTCCTCCGGGAAATACTGCCCGGCTGTCTCTGTCACTCATGCAGAGTCCAGCAATGACCAGGGGACCAATGAGCCTTGTCGATTGGATTTTTTTTTCCAAATGGAAAATAATCCAGTCGGTCTAATTAACTCGATTCACTCTGGAAGACTGGGCAGGCAATTGCTGTTAAACTAAATAACCAGAGGGATCCCAGTGGTACTAAGTCACAGCGGGGTGATAGCTGCTCCCTGCCTCTCCAGGGATGGGGTTAAAGGAGCTGGCTTTGGAAGGGTCACACACTTCTTGCGTTTCTCAGTCATAACAGATACACTAAGACACGAGCTGAGCATTTAAAATAACAGATGTGGGGTCTGAAAGAGAAGAAACAAACGAAATTAAGTGTCAGTCCTGGTTTTACAGTTTAGTACCAGTTTTGCTTAGCCAAGTCCATCCTCTGGTTTGTCTTTCCAGGTTTGTGTGTGCATGTGTGTGTGTGTTTATATCGCCCCCCCCCCCCCCCCACCCAGCCGCTTGTCTCTGGAGGTTTATTTGTTATTACTTCTTGCTGTAACTTCTGTGTTTATAGAGGCGGGGGGAGAAAAGAGTTTTTAGCCCCCTCCTCCTCTCGCTGGGTTTTTCATTATTTAGAGGACGAGCACTGAAACAAATCACATTGACCGTTTAGAAACCGATCAAACCTTTATAAAAATCCATCGCTAACGAATCGATTGGTGAATATTTGCTAGGAATTTGTTCAAAAGAAATAAATGAGGGTAAGTGTATTAAATGCAAAGGGGAACACGGTGGTGTTTTTCTTCATTGATTAATGACCTCTAAAATAAAACAAGTAGGAAGAGGAACCAGGATCGATAAATTAACTACCCAAATTCATCATTTTCCCTGGGAATTAAAAAAAAAAATCCCTAGCCAGTCTCTCTCTCTCCCCCTCTTTCTCTCTTTGGGGACTGGGTTTTCGGAGGGAGGGGAACTAAACCCACTAAAAGGGAGGGGTTGAATCGGGGGAGCCCCTATCTGATATTGTTTGGTACACAATTAAAAAGTTTGCCTTTCATATTAATTAATTCTCCTGATCTGGGGAAGACAAATGGTCGGTTGCCTCTGACAGGAGTCCGATAAAGGATTCAGCAGCTTTCCTTCTTGCCCTAGGCGTCTCCTCATTCCAGTTTTAAGGTCACTCGCGGCTGAGTTAATAATTCATTAATATATAGACATTTATTCAGATGGGATTCACGGACATTCACACTCCCCCTTGCATTGCAGCGTTTAGATTTAGTTTCCCTAGAAGAAGAGAAGGGGCTAGAGGAAGGAGACTTTAAACAATAAGTGGACCCGTTCCTACAGCCTATTCTAGCCAAAGATGGGGCATCCAAACCCAAACCGATCTGGAGCAAGCGAATCAGTTGAATCATCCTGCTCGAAACCCCAAGCATTAGGAGGGTCAGATCTTACGCTTTGCCTCCTCGGACCTTTGCTTTGGATAGTACCGTTCTGCTCCGTGCCACACT